CACTATATAAACCCTCCATTTCTTCACCATTCTTCACCAAATTTGATCTGAGAGATAGCCTTGAGTGTGGAGAACGCAGTGGTGCTGTCAATTTAGTGTGAGGTCGCCGAAGTTGAGAGTTATTGTCGCCGGAAGTTTTGCCGGAAAATCTTCAAAACCTCCATTACGCTTCGAGGTAAGCCCGTAGATATATCTAATGACTAGAATGTTCATATAGGTCGTTTCTACGTTCATAAATGGTCAATTGGTTGAGTTTTGTGTTTGAACATGTTTAAGAACCAAGAATCATAAACCTTGAATTTGATGTTAAAAATATGTTTAAATGATTCCAAAATGATCTATGAACTTTGGAGAACATTTCTATATAATTTAATTGAAGTTTGGTGATTAAAAATGGTAATACTCGAAACTGACCAAAGGAAGAAGATGATGAACAGTAGCCGAAAATCGATTATTTACTCCTAAAAATCGATTAGAACTTTGTTCAGATGAGGTGCTCGAAGTCAGAAAAATATAATCGATTATTTTATTAAAATAAATCGATTTTTATTATATAATCGATTATTTATAATTTATAAATCGATTTTAGTTAAATAATCGATTATTTATAAATTATAAATCGATTTTAGTTAAATAATCGATTATTTATAAATTATAAATTGATTTTTATTATTAATCGATTATTATTTATTAAATAATCGATTTTTCCACATTTATATATATATATATATAAATAGATTATTTTATATTAAATCAACTTCAATTCGAGTTACTGCTTCGAAAAATATTTCTCAAATTATGCTCTAAAATCCTACTTTTGATACCAACTAATTATAGACAATATAAATATGATTTTATACAATAAAATGATGTTTTGACATATAAAAACGTAATGTGATGCATGACGGTAAGTTTGGGTGTTAACACTCAATACTAGGCCACTATTTGTTATTAGATTTTATGATTGTTTGACTATTGATTATGATAATTAATTATGTTGAATACTCTGAATGACGATCATGAATTGTTAAGTTGAGAATAATGAATTAATAAATCATACTATTAAGGCTACTTAGAAGACCTCTAAGATAGACCTCTGATTAGAATGGGCCTTGCGAGTATAAAACGTATATTCGGTGGCCTTGGGTAAAAACGTACGTACGGGATCCATAACCAAACTAGAGGAACTCGTTTGGGGATACCACCCAACCCGACAGTCAGTATCCTACTGTTCGGTTTTCTAGATTTGTACCTTAAGCAAAGGCTAGTTTAAGAGTTGGTAAATCAATCGGAATATAT